GGCTAAACCAGGTGTAATGTGGGCTCTCCTGTGGGTCTTTGTTAATAACCTCGCTGCAGTGTTCTGCACAGACTGAAGCCGTAAGATCTGAGCTTTGAAATGTTCCTTAAATGATAAAAACAGTTACGAACTAAAGTTTTACAATGGCTGTCAAAAGACAGAACTATCAAAGACAACACCCAGATTTCTGAGACTATTTTTCACTGAAKGGGTTAAAAARGCAAGGTGCTGCCTGATTACAGGGATTTTATCATCAGGGGCGATAATAAGAGTTTCAGTCTTGTTTGCATTTAACAGCAGGTAGTTGTTGTTCAGCCATATTTTGACTTCTGACAGTTACTGAGTTCAGATAGTTTGAAGAACTCAGAGGGTCGAAAGGAGCAGTACAACTGTATGTCATCAGCATACAGATGGTAGGACGCATTACTGTAACATTTTAAAACACCTCCTAAAGGGTACAGGTACAATAAAAAGAGGATTGGACCCAAAACTGAACCTTGGGGTACCCCACAAGACAGCGGTGCAACATCAGAGTAAACCTGATTCATAAAAACAGTAAAAGACCGTTCAGATAAATAAGAGGTGAACAAGTTTTACACATTTGTACGTCTTTACCCGCTCTTGGTCTTGGTCTGAGCCTCATCTCCAAACCCTTGACCTCCAGGGCACAGTTTTCCTGTAGCAGCGCTGCCCAGGGGACGGTYAGGGAAATCGTCTGGATGAACCCGGTGATGACCTCAAAAGGGGCATCTGCTGTCTCTAGGAGCTCATTGAGCGACTGAGGAACAATAAATTATGCCATTTTAGTACTGTTTTAACTTATTTCAGCTTTGATTACATTGTCCACTCAGTTCTGGCTCATATTGCTCTATGTTTACAACAATAAAAGCCTTTCTTGTTGATTAGTTAGACTGAAAATATTCACTCTTTTAAAATCAGACTGCTTACGTTTAAGTCAAACAGTAAGTTATTGTGTCATACCCATTTATCCAGTGGAACTTGTGCGAGGGACCCTGTGCCTTGATAAAGATCCAGGCTAAGCTGATCCAAGCTCAATTTCTCCTCCAGAAAGTTTCCCAAGTATCGATGCAGGAGGTATCTGCAAGCCCGCTTCTTGATAGATTCAGAGAATGGCCAAGGCATCTTGACGTAGCAGGTGAACAGTGCGCAGGTAATGAAATGAAAATGACGGTCTGTGGCTACAAGGCTGTAGCTGATCAGACAACTGTGAATGAATCAGTTGTGTTGCAGTTGTGTCATCCTGTTGACTTGAAGATCCTGAAAAAAGGTGAGCTCATACATCCTTCATATCCCAGTGTCTGGGGCACTGTGGAGGATGTGTTGACACTCAGAGATATGTGTAGGAATTGGTTGGACTCCAGTTTGCTGTGCCTATAAAACAGTCACAAACAAAGTGGCCCCATTTAGAAAAATGACACCACAACATGTGACTTTGCACTCAATATTAAGGAGACAACAGTAAACTTGTTTTAGCTCTTAATGTGTTAACTAATGACTAGAAAAATAATGATAAAATACTCCTTAAATGATTATGTGATAATTGACTAAATAATCTTAAAGCTTGTGCAATACACCTTATATTTCTTCTGACGTGCTACATATTCAGTAAACTCATCCTTCACCTACGTCAACCTAAACACGGCTGTTATCATGATACGACAGGAAATGTGTTTTGATGATAAACAAAGACAAGTCATGTAGCTAACTAGCCGGCTAGCCTCGGCTATCAAGAGTGAGGTCGACCCACCCCCGTCAATGGAGTGAAGCTAACATTTGCATAGCCAGTGGCTAACTTAAGGCTAAAGCTAAATAGCGCTAAGCTAGTTAGCCAGCGAGCTAGGCTAAAATCCAATATTTCCTATATTTGTCAGCCATTCCACAGACAATTCATACTGACAACACCAAAATCAAATACAGCACGTCCTAGAGCAATATTAAAGAGCTAACACAAGCGTGGCATGACACAAGAAGAYAGCTCTTGAGTTACCTTCTGACTGAGTTGTTTACAAACACTTTCATGACTCCGCACCATTTCGTACTTGCATTTAGGATAGCTCGGAAGAGAGACGTAAAAATTCAAACAAGTACATTTCCAGTGCGCATAAATAGAAAAATCGAATTTGTTTTCATTGATACTTTGCAGGAATATATGTTTCATTCGATGTTTTCAATATACCTTTATTATCTTTTTAACTCGTCTTATTTTGTTTGACATCTTCCCCGTTTCCTAGTTGTCATTGAACGCAGCAGTAAGACCACACAATTAGGGGCGGGATTAGTTGATGATGTCATAACGTGGCGGATCCGTTTAGCTTGTGGTATATTCAGGCTCTTGTTTTGGACGTAAATAACTTAATTTAGGGACAAATACTGAATAGAAAGAGTTTTTTTTAACCCAGCTTGTATTTTCGTTGTTTAAAACCAAATTTAAACAAGGCGAAGTAACGCTGGTGTGCCTGCCTCTTACCCACGCAGAGCAGCTCACAGAGTGGGCTGGAAGCTACAAGAAACCGGAAGAAAACAACCAACACAGCGAGGAGGTGAGAGAAAAAATATGTCCGCATTTTTATCATAATTTATCTTTAACACAAACACATCATATATTCTCTAACAGGTGCTTTAAAACACATGACGCATGCATGTTCAAAAACCTAAAGATAAAGACGTTTTGAACGACCTGTTGTTTTTCTACAGAAACTGCATTTAGCCCCACATTTATTTCACCTACTGTTCATTAATACACATAACAACAATACACGGRGGTTTTATACTAGTTATGAAGAAATTTTTGATATAATTTAGTTTGTAGAAACGTTCGCGTCGTCATCAAGCGYCCACAAGGTGTCGCTGTTTTGTTTACATATCAAGGAGGGTCAATAAGTTGCACAGAGACTCGTGTTGAACAGTAATAATGTAATCATTTACACTGTTATATGCGGTGATTTTTGCCATCATATCTGTTGAAATTAGTAATGAGATTTTTTTTTTTAGCAAATAAAGTCCACACGAAAGGTTCCCGTTTAATCCCAAAAATTTCCCAGCAAAATAACTGCATGCATTTTATTCATTAGAGCTCCCTAACACATAGTATTTATTACTTTTTCATTTTATGTTGATTGTGTTAGTGAAAATGTAGGTTTTGTACTTGGCAACAATTGTTGCCGGTGGGAAACAGCGTAGTCTGAACTGACACACATCCTTTATTCTGACCTATTTACACACATGAAAAATATAAATAACAGTAACATGCATAACATGTTATAAACAAGACATGGGTACAAATTCAACAGTAGGAATGACTGATTTAGCACAGGGTTTTTCAAAGTGGAGGTCACGGGCCCCTGGGGGGTCACCAGGGAGTATTACACATAAAGCTGGAGGGGATGATAAAGGGGAAAAAGGGCAAAAAACTAAAATTTAAATCTAATGAATATTTTAAGCTATTAGCATAAAATTTAATCTGTTTTTCAATCATTATTTGAAATTATAATTTATAACATAAATTGAAATGTTATTTAGGAGAGCAGTTTGATTCCTTTTGTTCTTATTGTCAACAGCTGATTATTCAGTGGGATTATAATAGTGTTTAACACATAAGTTAATAGAATTTTAATGTTAAACAAATATAATACTTACAAAAAGGGATTAAAAACATTTTAAAATTTTACATATTTTGTAGCATTGTTTGTAGGTTTGCATAGGGGGTCCCCAGCCAAACGCTTATGCTGTTTGTGGGGGCTATGGCATGGAAAAGTTTGGGAACCCCTGATGCAGCACACATCATTTTGGGGTTCTTTCAGTTCTGAAAGATCTAAAACATCTAATGGTTTTAAGCTGCGTGGAAACAACCCTTATAAGATAAATAAAATAAACAGTCAAACCTTTGACAGCTAGCATAGCTCTGTCTATGTGTTAAACCAGCGGCAACAATTGTTGCCGAGCTTACATTCACTCTTCTCATGATCAAAAGATGCATGCAGGCATAAAACTCAATGTATCTCAGCAAAAGACTCTTTAAATAATATATGTACAAAATATTTCAATTATATGTGTTTATTAAGATATTTTATTCACTCCCTTTTGTACCAGTTTGAGGTAGACATTTCCCTCTGGCAGGGCCAGCAGGAAGTCAAGGGGTGTGGTCTTGTGACCATTCACACTAATTACACGAAATTGATATAACTAAGAGTAGACAGCCTATTGTTTTGTTATAAAACTTAAATTAGCTGCCCAAAACCAAACTTAGAGAAGTAAAACAAAATGTCTGGCACCAATTATTGCTGGTGGGATTAAACAGGTTAAAGGTTTACACAACAAAAAATAAAGGAAGCCTGAATTTTGCCTGAAACTCTCAGACTGAAGAAATCCTCTTGGAAGAGAGACGAAACGTTTCATTAGAGAAGAACCCGTCCAGAATACCTATACATTTTTTTCCTTTTGAAAAAATAAAGGAGTTCTTGCAAATGGTGGATACTGTGTTTGAAAATGTTTTTCTGCTCTTTTATGTAAATTCCCATTCAGAATGATGAGGCTGTTTATAGGGGCACTTCAGTGTATTTTTAGTGCCCATATACTCATGTCTTTTATGTCTAGTTTTGACTGAACAGTAATAAAGAATCACAAGGTGTTGTTTTATAGGTCTTTCCTGAAACCAGTTTGGTCTGCAGCCACAAACAAAGTACAAAATGTTAATAATATTATTAGTATTCCCCTCCTCTAAAAGTGGTTGATTCCCCGTGGGGAGGAAGGCTTCTGACTKTAAGGCTGCACAGGATTTCAGTCATGTCAAATGAATGACAAAGCAAGAAGTTAGGTAATACGCAACTGCTGACTCACACAGAAACATGAAGTTAAACTGCGCTCAGGCATAAACAGAGCATCACAGGTATTGACTTGTTCAGTGTTGAGGAGATACTTGGAGTTGGCATATCTGAGTATCATCTGGTTTATGGTGACTAGGTGCATTTGTTGAGTGAGAAAGCAGCTAAGAATGTAAGAAGGAAGTACGCTCACAACTGGAAATGACCGTTTGTGTGTGACATTCAAACACTGGCAAAACTGGCTGGACCTTTAAGTCACTTCTATAATCCATGCTGACAATTTACTTTAAAAAAAAGAACAGGCAGAAGAGTCACATGTCGGCGTTTCACTTCTGTTTTGGACAAATGTGACACATTAAGAAGAACCAAAACCGCACATTTTCTATGAGCAGTTAAAACAGATCAGGGTGTTTTTTTTCTGAACACTTTGCTGTAGATATGATTCAGCCACTTGCAAAATATAGCTTGTTGCCATGACTATAAAGAGCACCACATTCCCACTCATCTTCTTGCTGGAGCTGTGCTCATTAGGACCCAATTTCAGCCTCAAGAAACTAAACTATCAGGCGTATTCGTGTCAGTAAATGCGGTCGTGTGTTTGCAGGGGATGGAGGTCGACTGCCCGCCCGAGGAGTCCGTCAGTTACACGTTTGACGAGGACTCCGTCGAGCTCTGCGACGTTAAGGACATGAGGCTGGAGGCGGAGGCGGTGGTCAACGACGTCCTCTTCGCCGTGGCGGACATGCACGTGTCGCAGAACCTCAGCAACGCGCCGGACATGGCCTACATCAACGTGGAGACCAGGGAGGGGAATCGTTACTGCCTGGAGCTCACCGAGGCTGGGCTCAGGGTAGGAGGAGCTCACAARATGCTGCAGGGATTTATTTATTTATTTAAATAATTAAAAAATGTCTCATTTAACAGGTGGTGGGCTACGCTTTCAATCAAGTGGACGAGAACCTGAGCACCCCGTATCACGAGACTGTTTACTCCCTCCTGGACCAGCTCAGTTCGGGTTACAGGGAAGCGTTCGGGAACGCTCTGCTGCAGCGGCTGGAAGAACTGAAGCAAAGCGGGCGGTGAGGAGGACCAGGAGGCGTTTAGATTTTAGCCACTGATAACCGAGTCTTTACTAAGACACATTAACGTAATGCTGAAATGCCACTACTATGGCTCCGCTGACCCGTTAACCTCGCCTCGCTCTTTAGTTTCAGCAAATTAAAATATTTCATGTTAGTTTCTTAGTTCGAGCCTCAGATTGGATGTACGGGACCTGTTGCCGTATAATGTTGTTTACTTTAATGTAGAAATAACTACCATCCAGTGTTGTTTAGGAGTTCTACTTTATTATTTTTTTCTACTTAAAATGCTGGAACAGAAGCTTTAGGTGATGTTTCTGTTTCCCTCTCATTAAAACAGTTTTCTCCGACTAGTTTTTCTCTGGAAAAGAGCTCAGATTGTATTATTTTAATGAGACCATTGCCTTAATGACTGACTTGTAAAAGGAAAAATACTCATTAATTCACTGATCTTTACTTGTTTTCATATTTACTAAGATAAAGTGATTTAGTTTCAGTTCAGCTCATCTTACTAATTTACTTATAGTAACATGTTTTTGTTAAGTCCTGCACTGTACCTTTGATCTTTAGTTTGTAGTTTTAAGTGGAAATGTTAAGCTTTGTAATTGGTAGTTTTTATTCATTTTATTTGGTTCTTGTAAAAAATAATCTAGTTGTTGAACTTTGATCATTTAAAATATTTTTCTGTACATGTAAACTGTATTCTTTGTTTTGAACCATTTAAAACTTCGTCCATCTTTTTCACCTTTGACAACCAATAAAAAGCAGTTTCAGTCGTCCTGAGGGTCACGAGGGTTAGAGACTTGCAACAGCGTGAAGATCAAGACTGAACTGGAAATTTATTTCTGTTGACTACATTTGAATTTAATGGTTTGTTTGCTTCACTGCACTCAAAATAAAGTTGCGTTTGTACAGATTTTGTTTTGCAGATCTCTCTAAACCCCCAACCAAATAAGGGAAGTCACTCTCTTATTGCACAAATCTTAAAGCACTTTTTCACATAAAGCAAGATTACAGTGCTGCAGGGTTCRTGGAGTATTTTAGGTACAATTATTTTTTATTTCAGATGTTAAACCCGCCACATTATCTGTTCAGCGTATGAGGACTTTGAGCTGTTTTAAAAATAACGATGAGCCGAGTAAAAAAAAAAACAAAAACAAACAAACCTTCATTTGATGAGTCTATTCTTGTCCTAACCAGCAGAACTGGCTGAACCACAGGTTCATGACTGAATATCAGGTGTTTTCTGAGCGAATGGGGGGG